CAAGAAGTGACTGGCTTACAAGCTTTCAAGAGGGAACCTAGATTCGGAGGGCATGGAGGAAGGTAGAATCTCCACTGAGTAGTATCCAATCTGTCTAGGTGGGGCTGATGAAATGAAATGCGGATGGGTCTCTTATGATACAATAGTGAGTAATTGTTATCAGGACTGCTTGTGAGGGTTGGAAATGTAAAGATAGACATTTTGTAGCAAGGAGGGGAGTGATTAACTTTTCAGTGTAGGAGCGTAGGTCCCTGGGACCATCAAGGGAGAAGAGCGGAGAGCGGGACCCTATCCAGAGAAGCAGTGAGTGATACCAGAGATGGAGGCAGAGATGATGACGTGGAGAGATGGAGCAACTGGGGACTTTAGACCCAGAGAGGGAGAGGGGCTGTGTGCTAACGTCCAGGGGGCAGGATTGCAGGGTTTACCCTTTGATTGGTTGATGATGCATGGAGGGGATTGTAACCATGGCATTGAAATGATGTAGGATAGGATGAACGTAAAACTAATGTTCTCCCATGTAAACTATCACATAATTCACAGTAAAACATTAAAAAAAACAAACCAGAAACTCTGGTAGCAAGTCAGGCTGCTAACTTCAAGTTCAGCAGTTCAATACTATGGGTGGTTCTGTGGGAGAAAGATGAGACTTTCTGCTCCTGTAAAGATTTACAGCCTCGGAAACCCTACATAGGGTTGCTATGAGTCAGAACTGACTCCATGGAACCCAACAACCACCATCTTCTTTTCAGAGTCCTGGTGTGGCATTGTGGGTTAATGAACTGGACTGCAAAGTCATTTGAACTGCAAGGTTGGCAGTTCAAGCACACCAGCCACTTTTTGGAAATCCTCTACAGGATCTTTCTGAGTCAGAACTGAGTCAACAAACCTCCTTGTGGAGTCCTGGTGTGGCGCTGCAAGATAATAGACTGGACTGCAATGTCAGTTTGAGCCGCAAGGTCGGCGGTTCAAACCCACTAGCCTCTCCTCGGAAAACCCTATACAGGGTCGTTATGAGTCAGAGCTGTACTCAATGGCACTTAACAAGAGCATCCTCCTTTTAAACTATTTTACCATTATTCTACTCTAGATCTTCTCCCAGCACAGAAGCAATCAGTGTGGAGAATATTCATTATAGTTAGTTATCTAGCTCGGTAACATAAGTTTAGAGCCATGTAAAATTAGTAGCAATGCTTTGTGTGAGCAGTGGAAGTGATACTTACGATTGCTTCTTGAGTACCTGGTTCTTACCGAGCTGTAAATCTCTACAGGAACAGAAAGCATCTGCGGGATGGCTGGTAGTTTCAAACTGCTGACCTTGAGGTTAGCAGCCTGATTCCTAGCCACTATGCAACCAGCGCCCCTTTTACATGGATGATGGCAGCCTCATTCTACAGAAGAACTCTGTGTATTATTCTGTGAGTTGCGTTTATTGAGCACAAATATATGCTTTTAAGATGGAGCCATGTTGCTTTGATTCCAGCAAGTTCCTGCCTTTTGATGGCTTCATTTGTCATTGTTAAGTGCCATCGAGTTGGTTCCAACCCATAGTGACCCTGTATAGGGTTTCCGAGGAGCAGCTGGTGAGTTTGAACCACTGACCTTGCAGTTCAAATGGCTTTGCAGTCTGGCGCATTAACTCACAGCGTCACCCCAGAACTCCTGATCGCTTCATAGCGTATCTCTTTTCTAGCTTTTCAGATTGCCTTCATTTGTACAAGAAAAATGTATTGGATACCCATCATTGTAGGTACTAGAAACAGAGCCATGAACAAAGTAGCAAGATAATCCTGCCTTCATGGAGCTCATAGTCTAGGGGGATGAGGCACAATAACCCAGCATTGCGAACCACAAGGTCAATGGTTCAAACCCACCAGCTGCTCCTCGGAAACCCTATTCAGGGTCGCTGTGAGTTGGAACCAACTCGACAGCACTCAACAATAACAAGAAAGAAGAAAACCAGGAGGAGGGGGTGCAGGGTATTGAGGGGGCTCAGTTCTATTCAGCACAGTCAGGAAAGACCTCACTAGAAGGTGGCTCTCAAGCAGTGCCCCGTTATTTTAGGACAGAGCGGAAGAAAAGGCAACTTAATTTAGAGAGAATAATGTATATTTAGCCTGTTGCTTTGAAAATGTTTCCCTGCCAGCCATTTCTGAGAACAATGTCAGGAAATTGAGTGATTACTTCAAAACCACATATTAACAGAGTGGAGGCCTTCAGTAAGCACTCAAATGCCCCACAGTTTGCTTGACCTGCCTTTCTGCAGAATACACTCTTGGCTAACACTCTCAATTTTTGAGAGCTAAAATTTCCCAGATATTACTAGGTTGGCTGGTTTGGTTTTGTTTTCAATCTGAGAATAACTACGCATTTAAAAGAAGAGAGGATTTTTTGTGTGTGTGTGCCTAATCTTA